CGTCCAAAACGCTGAAGGATGCCTTCCGTCTATCACAACATGATCGATATGATTTCTCGGTTTTCGATCCGGAGACAGCCAGATGGATCTTCTTATGCTTGAACCTAATACTGCATACTACCATGCTTAGGGCCCCGGCGAAGTTGATCAGCCTCAGTCCACTGTCCGACGTTTCGTCGTGGAGGTTGAATTTTCCGACGGTGGTTCCAAAAATCCCTTCCTTGCCCACCCTGGCATTGAAGTCGCCAAGCACGATTTTGATATCGTGGCGGGGGCAGCTCGTACTTGCGTTCCAAGCGCTCATAGGAAGGATCCTTGGACATCTCATCCTTCTCTTCCGTCTCCGTCCGAACAGAAAGTTCTTGCACTATATGATTCAAAGCCGTGTTTGTAGAACACTATGAAATTTCGGCTCTGATCATTTCGGTCTTTTTACAACGTTTTTATCAACTTGCAATGTTGTATGTTGTTGACCACCATTTTATACTATAAATATAGCAAAGGTATTTATGGCAAACCTAGTCTAGATATCAACCACGTCGTAGGTATCATATCAAAGACATTAATTAGAAAAACTCTAGAGATAGATGTCGCCTAGCCAGAAGAAGTTAAAAATATGCACTACATACGCTACAGCGGAAATGGACGACACCCATTTCTTTCAATGAAATTAATTGCTGCTATATGTATGTATATATGTACATATGTACGCATATACTAAATATACAATATTTTGCTTGCATAGTCTTCTGTTCTCTTTTCACTGCAAGTTGAATTATTTTAGTATACTTTGTTAGTATAATTTTATACAGACAAGACTAAAAAGTATAAAAAAAATTAAAAAAAAACTTTTTAAATTACCGCGCTTTTATAAATGGACTAAAATTAAAAAATAATATTTCTCAGTTACACAGAATTTGTTTTGATAACTTTTGATTTTGAAATTTTAGCAAAAGTCATTATAAACAATTAGTGACATTGAAAATGAAAAGCGTGGGGCGCATGTAATACACTTGAATTGATATGAAAAGTAACATATGTACATATGTATGTGGGCATATGAATTACGACCGCTTGAAATCGATCTCAAATTTGTACTTTCGCTGTAGAATGTTATGTAGTTTGACTATTGTCAATGAAATCGAATGCTTTGCGCTCCACGTTTTTCGTTTTCAATGTCATTAATTGTTTATAATGACTTTTGCTAAAATTTCAAAATCAAAAGTTATCAAAACGAATTCTGTGGGACTGAGAAATATTATTTTCTGCTTTTTAGTTCATTTATAAAAGCGTTGTATATTAAAAAGTTTTTTTTTAATTTTATTTTTGGTCCTCAATTGTAAAGAAATAAATATTGTACCAGCGAGCTGGTATGTTATATGCTTCGAGCCTGATGGTACAATCACTTGATGGAGCCAGCAATCTAAGGTTCTATATTCTATTGAAAATGGTGTCGTATATTTTCCCTTTATATACATACATACATATATGTAAGTAAAAAAATTTAACTACCAGTTTTAGCCACAACGAATTGTTTTTGCTCTTTTTAGCCCTTTTAAAAAGGAATTTGGCTACCACTAAAAATGATTCGCGGCAACACTGCTGATAACTTTGGTTCTATTAGAAGCACACGTTCAATTATGGTGTCATTTTCAAGAGTATGTTATATTTACAAAATATTTCACTTTCACGCCATTTTCAAATATCAAAAAAAAGAGTTACTTGGAAATACAGGAAAACTTAATTAAATTAATTTAATAATGCAGAATCGCTACTTTATTAATTGTTTTAATATAATCTACTATACTGTATATATTTTTATAATACTTATAGATTTAAGATTACTAGTGTTCGCCCAGCGGTTGAAATTCAACCGCTAAAATTAAGGATAGTTTCTGTGAGTTGAGTTGAGGTGAAATAACATTAGTTGGAATGGGTTAACCCTTAATTAGGAGCATAAAGAAAATCACACAATTAGTCGCATGGGGTCCTCAGTGACCCCAATAAAAGTGTTGAAAAAAGAGTTTTCATAATAAAAAAACGTAGTGTGAACTCCTGTAAGAACAACAATGGCGACCTAGTGACCGATTTCCAGAATATACTTAAATTGTGGAGGGAACACTTTTATAACCTACTGAATAGTAGCAGCGCTGAAAGTAGTGAGGGAGACGAACCCGAGTCCCCAGTCGATGATGATGGAGTAGCTGTTCCACCGCCTGACTATGACGAGGTACGAATAGCGATTACGCGGCTGAAAAACAACAAAGCTGCTGGAGCTGACGGCCTGCCAGCCGAGCTATTCAAGTACGGCGGCGAGGAGCTGATGAGGTGCATGCATCAGCTCGTATGCAGAATATGG